GGCAAAATTCCAGTAACAAAGCTTGCGTGACTGGAGAGTAGAAATACCTAGGCAGACGAACAAACACACACACACACAAACACACACGCACATGCACACAAACATACCCACAGAGACAGGGCCGTCGAAATATTCGTTTCTGCTGTCTGTCGCTGCATGGCAAAAACGCATAAAAACGGATAAAAAACCTCGGTACAAGTATCTGCTGAACAGTGAGTTCATGAACAGCTTTGTGAGCATGGGTAGTTGTTGCCGGTAGAGGCGATTTCAGTGGGATCACGTATGCTTCCACGCATCCAGTAGGTCAGACTGAGGAAAGTCTTCTATTCAGCTGATCATTCCGTTTTGGACACTGTGCGAATCCATACGGTTTCAAAATGCCCAAAACAGCGGCTTATTCATAGTCCGCTTCTCCACCTAGGCTGCTGACCAGTTTTTCAGTACTGTTCAGTGCTGTACTTGTTGGGTGTCCGGCTTGCTGATGATGATCCTGTCTGTCGTTCGTTCGTCTCCGAAAGGGAATGTCGGTACCCCTGGCAAAAAAGACTTTAACATGCTCAGCAAAAAATTACCTGAAGTTTAGGAACTGCACATTGACGGATTTAGCAAGTGGAGCCTCCGCAATCACCAGCTCTTCGCCAAATGTCATCGTTGGTACAGTGGGCCAAAATACCTGTACTTAGAATATAATAATTAATGGAAATTACTAGAGGCTGAATCGTCAGCTAATAAGCGACTTGAAACTGTGGTTATCTGGGTGGAGCTCTTGCTCCCGCCACATATTGCGGACAACTATCCTTTGCAACTCCAGCCTTTGATCTACCTGATGCTTGCCGTCGCCTCGCTCACCTTATGCAGAATCCTCTTTCACGCTTGGCAGTGATTGCTGTGTGACTCCAGCGATTATCTTTGAAATCCGTGAAGCGTTACATCCAGAATCACATCTTTCTCGAGGTTCTGGCAATATCTTAGGATTCATTAATTTCTGAGAGCGCCCTGTTCCCCAAGAGGGAACACAAGAATGGTTATTCGCTTCTATGAAATCAGTGTTCAACATAAATCTAGTTGGATAATTTTCAAAGGAAATAAAATTAAAGCGAAAGCGAAACCTTTCCGGAAAATTCGGATCGCCAGGAACCAATGATCCATTCCAGCTTTTGATTATTTAAAGTAAGCTCAGTTTGAGCAGATACCACCAGAATTATAATAATCAAATGATAAGCAATCGTCGGCATTGGTTTGGGTGGATCAACGACTGTCATTAACGGCGTCATGGTGTCCCCCTCTGTGACACTGCAGCAACGGGTTTCTGCTCTTTGGCAGTGCGCAGGAACATGGCGATGTCTTCAAGCAAAAGACCCACCTGCCTTCGGCAACCCGTTCTCGGTTTTTCCAGACATTTCTCAATCCGAAATGTATATTTTCATTACAAACAACAATCGCCAGTTTTTTTATACAAATGAATAGCCAAAATATTTTTCTAGAAACTACGCACAAGGAATAAGGTTTTTTTTTTTCACAAAAACTGTAATGGAGTGCTTACGGTCGAGGGAAGAGCTGAGTCACTTTCTGCATTGTTAAAATAAAATTTTCGAACATTTAATGCGTTTTGTGCTTTAGCAGCTACAAAAAACGCATATTGTTGAGACTCTCTCTGCGTATTTGTGTATGGGTGTGTTCCGAGTGTGTTTTATCCAAGGGTATTAACCGGAGAAACACTGAAACTAGGAAACTGAAATTTCGGGAGAATTTTTCTTATCCGCGTGTGAGCCCATAAAGTTAAATTCAGCCTTCATGCGCACCTAGGTATCGCGCACTGATCCGTGAAAAATTTGGCACGAAAACCATTAACTCGGAAACCACAGAAGCTAGAAAGTCGAAACTTTAAGAGAATGTCCCCTACCCGTGTATGATTCCATAAACTCAAGCCCAGCCCCTCACATGCCTGAATTTCACGTATGTATGCGTGAGATTTTTGACACCGAGATTGATAACTGAGAAATTAGAAAAGCAAGGAAGTTAAAAATTCAGAACAGTGCCCACGCCTGCGCATAACTCAGTTTCTGCGTGCGCCTAGGTCTCACGTGTGGATAAGTGATAGTTCAGTTGCTAAAATATTAATTTGGGAACCACAAAACTTAGGAGGTTGAAATTTTCGGAAATGTTCCCCGCTTGCATATGATACCACGAATTTGATATCAGACTTCACGTGCACCTCAGTCTCGTGTATGGATGCGTGAAATTTTTGACGCGAAAATTATTAAGACGGAAATCAGAAAAAACCCAGGCTGGAACGCACCAGTCGAGCCGGTGCGATCATGCGTTTTTGCACCAAACTTTGAGGTACTCCATCATTATTCCCCTTTCCT